CCTCGTTATCGTAGGGAGAATGGAATGCGAACGTATGCTGGGTGGTGCGAGGAAGCTGAAGATGTAATGGGGTTTGCGGACGATGGGTTGTGGATGACGATGCGTGCGAGCCGAGGTGGCGGGTGAAGCTATCGGGAGCTCTGAGGGTGCGAGAACGGAGAACGATTAACACAGTAGCGTTGTCATCGAGGTAACGAAAGAATGACGCAGGTAGCACAAGTCGGCTTGCGCGACGCTTGATAGAGTATGCACGGATACAGGTCCACTGTAGAGATGAGTGTTGTTATGAGGCGTGGGCGCGCAGGCAACGACACAAGTCTGGGGTGCAGACGTCACTGCCCCGGCTTGGCTAAAATGCGCGCCAGCCAGGAACCATGATCGTCCCCTGTCACGCGTGTCAGCCACCACCAGTGTAAAATCATGCACCTATCACACAACAAAATCTATTTAGTGCTCTGTCTGTATCGAACGTTCATTCATGCTACATGGTATCGTAAAACTGTATCTATATCCCATCCTACCATTCCATGCCCAAATCCATTCCTTGTGTCTTTCGACGGGTATCCCTCTCTTTTAGCAAAACGAAACCTCCCTACTTGCGCAGATATTGCACCAGCTCAACAAGCTGCGAGCGCGTCTCATCCTCGAGCTGCTCCTCAGGCGGGCTGAGAACCTTCTCAAACACAGGCATCAGCGAAGATGTGAGCTGCTGCACTGTAGGCTCGTTTTGTTGGTAAAGCTTGACAATCATGCCAAACACGGGCTTGTTCTCCTCGTAGTCCTCACGGAGAGGCAGGAGCTGCACCAGGCGAGGCAAGACCTCGGCAATGGGAAGCTTGCCAGGGTGCTTCGAGATGAACCTGCTGACGCAACCTGCAGTGTTGTCAAGAAGGCGTGCTTGGTCCTGAGCATCAAGCAGAGGCTCGAGCTTGGAGAAGATTGTAGGCAAAGACTTGAGGATCTCATCATCGTTCGTGGTCATCTCGCAGAGAAGTCCGATACCGTAGACGGCGTTGGACTTGGTCTCTGGGTCTTCATCCGACAGGCGGTGGAGAAGGAGCTTCAGCATGCCAGTGGTGTAAGGTGTGCAGCCAGCACCCATGTTGCCGATGCACTCAGCAATGGTTCCGACAGCAGCGCTTCGCTCAGTGGAGTCCTGGCTGCTAGCGTACTTGACAATGGGCTTCTCGAACATCTTCCAGAGCTCGGCGAACTGCGAGCCAAGTGCGACTGACAGGCAGGTGACAGCCTCGAGGGCAGTCTCAATGACAAGCCAGTCGTACTCGGAAGACTCATCAAGAATCTCCTCCTCGGCTTCATCACCGAGATCCTGCTGGCAAGGGTGACGCTTGGTGATGACAGCGAGCAAGTGCTGGCAGAGATCAGGAACCACGGTGCCGTTGTCGGTCAACAACACAGCCGGTCCGCAGAGCTTGAGAGTGGCAGCGACATCACGGTTGATGTCAGTGACAGTACCCCTAGACAATGTTAGCCAGATTCTTCTTGATATATTATAACAAGTGATTGATTTTTGAGATTGCTCAGTCGTGATTTCGCTTTCACCTCAAGTGCACTTTGTGCATCGGAGTGAGCTGGGATTAACGAATATTCTGTCATCTTTGCAAGGTGGGTATAGTAAAAGAGCGTGAATACATACCGATCCATCTCGTCTTGCCAGATGGTCATGGTGGCAGTCATGACGAGGTTGCCGAGCTTCTTCAGCTCGTCGGGAATGTCAACAGCAAGCGGAAGACCAGGCTTCCACTTAGCCATACCATCACCCTCGGCCATACCGAAGAGGCAGGCAAATGTGCGCCATAGGGTGCCAAGAGCGGCCTTACGGATGCCCTCGTAGGAGTGGTCGACAAGTTCGAGCAGCTTGGTGACGGTCGCCTCCATGTAAGGGATGTACTCGCGGCGAGTATGAGTGATGATGTCTCCATAGACCTCAGCGGCGATCTCCTTCTCCATGGCGACAGCGCTGACGCCCTCTAGGTCATCCCAGTCGTCATCGTCATCACCGGCCATGAGGGCTTCGTTGAGATCGCTGTCATCGTCGTCGTCGTCGCTGGCAGCAGCCACCTTGATCTTCTGGCCCTGGATGATCACCTCGGAGCCGGCCAAATCAGCCACCTCCTCACCAAACTCAACGTCGAGGTTGGTCTCTTCTTGATCAAGGCAGTCGTTGAGGCCCTTCACAGCACCGGGAAGGTACTTAGCAAAGCCCTCCTCGTAGACCTTAGCCATGGTGCTCCAGAGGATGTAGCTGGTCTCCCTGAGACGGGGGTGGTCCAAGTGAAGAGCTTCCTCGGAAGCCTCCATGAGCGGCAGAACGTAGGGCTCGAAAGGCTCGGGGCCAACAGCAGAAGCGATCTTGCCCATGGAATCACAGGTGACACCACGAAGGTCGAGCTCGTCTTGGCTGTCCTTAATCCTGACGTATGAGGAAAGTTCCTGCATGGTCTGGGGGAAGAATGGGATGAAGGCCTTCTCGGCAGCAGAAGCAATAGAGCCAACGGCACCGATGGCAGCATTCTTCACCTTGAGATCCTCGTGATGGAAGAGCTTGCTGAAGCGTGGGATGAGTTCGGGAACATACTTTCCAGCGTCCTCTGGCTCGAGGCCCTCGATGAGGGAGTCGATAGCATGGCAGCTGCCGCGAACAATGGAGAGGTTGCGCTCGTCGTCTGAGCCTTGCATGTTGTTGGCAGCAAGGTCGAAGTTCTTGAGCATAGCAGGGATGAGGCGGGCGTGCTCCTTGCCAACGTCTTCGGCAAGATCATCAGCCAATCGAGCGACACCGTTGAGAGCGGCGGCTCGGACCTTGAGCTCAGGGTCCTCCAACAAGTGAAGAACCATAGGCATGATCTCGTTAAGCTGGGTAGCGATGAAGTCAGGCGCACCCTCGACACACATGCCGAGAGCCAGGATGGCAGCTTGACGGTAGTCAGGGTTCTGCGACTGGAAGTAGTTGCCGAGGTTCTTGAGAAGAGGAATGACAACTTGGCTGGGAGGGAGGCTGGATGCGAGGATGTCGAGGAGGCCGAGAGCGGAACGGGCGGGTGTAACTTCCTCTTCCTCACTGGACAGATCACCGAGCTCAGTGACGATGTGGAGAGCCTTCAAGGTCATCTCCTCACCGATTCGCAGGCCCTGTACCTTGAGCTTCCTGTAGCGCACGCACTGCATCAGGAATGCGAGAGCCTGGGAACGGTAATCGTCCTCGACGTTGGTGCTTGAAGAAAGCTCCAGCATGAAGCGAACAAGGTCGCCAAAGTGCTTTGCGAGAAGTGCAGACTCGCAGCCAAGGAGAGTTTGGAACACCTCGAAAGCTTGCATTGCGCGGTCCTCATCACCCTCGTCGACGGTGGCCTTCAGAACGGTGACCATGCCAGGGATGGACTCCTGGAACATGGCGAGCTCCTTGGGGCTCTCGTCGGGCTCTAGCAGCATTGCCAGGCGGCTGAGACTGAGCATTGTGTTGATTCTGACATCGACGCTCTCAGGGTCTTGGATGGTTGAACTGAACAGCTTGTACAGATCGGCTTGCTTGCCGGGGAACGAGTCGCCCGCTGACTCAAGTGTGGTGAAGATGATGTATGTACCAACTTCACGGTGTCGTGCCTCGGAGCTGGTGGCGGCCTGCTGGAGGTACCCGGGCAGGTCAGCCCACTCGCCATCCTCAAAATCTTGGGATGCGATGGCCGCAATGACGCGGGCAGCAGAGTGCCGTGTGAGAGTCACATCCTCGTTCAGTGTGAACTGGAACAACTGGTTGCGGAGAGAGTTCTTCTGGTCCGCAGGCAGGTTGGCCCAGTGCTTTGTTACCAGCTTCCTAGCCTCGACTGCAGCCAATTGGCGAAGCTGAGGCTTGGGGTGGCCGCAGAGAATCTGAAGGAGGGCATTGAGGGAGGCGGGTGAGTTGTAGTAGTTCTTGTTGAGGGTGGAGGTAGCGGATTTGACACGCTCGGTGTCGGCTGGAAAATGTTAGTAGAGGTCTATGGCACAGCGGGGCTGGGTAACGTACGCTCCATGAGGCCCTCGAGCAGCTGGACAAACTGTTGCTCGTCCATGGCGATGCTCTCACAGTGTAGTTATGTAAAAAGCAAAGCTCTGGTGGTCTATCGCAGGACAACGAAGACCTTTAGTAGTGACAGTTGTGAGAAGAGCGCTGGCTGCTCGCACAAGGTGGGGACTGGAACTTTTTCAAAAAAACGAGCGCCGCCAGAGAGCGCTAGTCTCAGAACGGCGCTAGTCTCAGGGTCCAGGACTGACCAATGACGGAGGCGGCAGGCGAAAAAGGTCATACCTCCAGAAGCCGACGCTGCTGTAGCCTGTAGCTGCGCAGATTGCTCTGCATGGTGGGTACTCTGACTTTGGGTGTCCTTGCAAGCTGTAAGAAGTTTGGGTAGGCGTGTCGTGTATGCTGGCCTAGACAACCACTGTACAAGCTAGCATGGCTTCCAGTGTCGGAGCATGAAGACTTCTTCGCAGATGATCTGAGGAAAAGCTTCAAAGAGAAGAAACGTGCTTGGTATCATCGTCATAAGATGACGGCAGCTCCTTGGACAGCTAGGCGACGAGATGGTGGTGGCTAGAGGCGGTGCCAGAGGCCATTGGGATGATAACGTGATGAAAGATCATCATGCAGAAAGCTCTCAGAAGATGATTGAGATGAATAGACAACGACACAAAGGGATAAGGGAGCTCAATGGATGGAGGAAGCTGGAGAAGCTAGAGATGTAGAAGTCCAGACAGCTCCAACGCGACTTGATAGGACGCGCTAGGCCAGGGTCTGTGCGGCGGAAAGCTGTTAGCAAAAACAGAAGGAGCAACGGTAGACAGGACAAACTCGCCGCTGCCATCATAAACGAGGAGGCTCTTCTACTAACTTCTCTCATACCCCGACCTTGTAATACCCCACTCTATTCCCCAAGTCCAACCCAGCCGCCTGTACGCCTCACCAGGACACGTTTCTCGACCCCTCCGCCTCCGACTCTATGGCTTCAGTACGTCTGGCAGTTGCCGCACTTATCTGACCACATGTGACATCGATGCTGACCTCGTCCAGCAAGCACCTAACCAGCCGCGCCCTTACCCAGGCAACTACCTTCCCAATGGTGGCGCTCCTGGCGGTCCATCCGGCCCAGCGCCTGGAGCTGTCCCGCTGCTCCCTAACCAGGGCCGCGTGATCCAGCAGGGAAGCGTACGAGTGCTATGCATTGCAGATGTCCGAGGTGAGCATGGCAGTCATGACATATAATAAAACTTGTTCCCCTAACATTGATTAGGAAACCTGCAATCGCTCAACCAGCTCGCCGCCGACGCCCGCGCAAACTACATCATCCACACTGGCGACTTTGGCTTCTACGATGATCGTTCGCTTGATCGCATCGCCGAGAAGACCCTCAAGCACGTGGCCCAATACTCACCGCTGCTCTCAGATGCCGTGAAGCGCTCCATCGCTTCAGCCCCTCCGCAACCGCCTATCAAGGAGCGCTTCGCACGGGAGCACCTGCCACTCTCAGAACTGCCCCTCTTCCTCAACAAGACCTACACCCTGAACGTACCAGTATACACCGTCTGGGGTGCTTGTGAAGATGTGCAAGTACTGGAGAAGCTGCGATCGGGCGAGTACAAGGTGGACAACCTGCACATCATTGATGAGGCGCATTCGCGGCTACTCGATGTAGGTGGCGTCAAGCTGCGACTACTTGGTCTCGGAGGTGCCGTCGTCATGCACAAGCTGTTCGACAATGGCGAGGGCAGGACTACCATTGCAGGTGGACAGGGCACTATGTGGACTACTCTGCTGCAGATGGGCGAACTTGTCGACACGGCCAACCGCGTATACGATCCGACCGAAACCCGCATATTCGTCACCCACGCATCTCCCGCCCGCGAAGGTCTGCTCAACCAGCTATCCGTCACGCTCAAGGCAGATTTCTCTGTCTCAGCTGGTCTGCATTTCCGCTACGGTAGCTCGTACAACGAGTTCAGCGTCAACCCCACCCTCGATCACTACCGCGGAAAGCTTGCTGCGTCCAAGGCCTCATTCAACGACGTTTGGGATACTGTCAAGACAGAAGTTGAGCCAGCGGTTGCTGATAGCGAGTCCCAGCAACGTCTGCTCGCCCTAGCGCTGGAAATCGTAAACAAGATGCCTACTGTCGCCAATGGCGGAAACCCCTTCGGTGGTCCTGCTCCTGGGCCTCAGAGCGGTCAAATCGACGAGAGCGCCTTCAAGAACATGTGGAACTTCAACCTTGCAGATGCTGCTTACGGATGGCTTGTACTGGACATTGACAATGGCAGGATCGGTACCGAGATGAGGGCCCAGGGTTTCAACTTCGCTCACCGAGGTGGAAAGGTTGCGCCTGGTCAAACTCAGCCCGCAGCCGCCAACACCAGCACTGGTCCCCCAGCTGCAGTGAACCCTAGCCCTTCTGCTCAGCCGTCTCCTGCTCCAGGACGTCAAGCCGGCCCACCAGCGAGTGCTCCTCAGCAACCCCGCCCCGCTGTTGCAACCCCACCGGTTCCTCAACAACAGAAGCAGAATGCTGGCCAGCCTACACGCACCGGCCCCTCCCCCGCCCCCGCTGCTACACCTAAAGAGCCCGTCAAGGCCGCTACACCACAGCCTCCAGCCAACAACACACCGGCGAACGCTGCTGCTGAAAAGGCTATCCCTAGCGAGGTCAAGCCTAATGGCACTTCGGCGCCAGAGAAGGGACCTGCATCTCCAGCGCCCCGCGAGCCTGCTGAGCGCAAGGAAAGCAAGGGTCTCTTCATTGCTGGTGTAAAGGATGAGGAGGAAGCCAAGAGTCTGCTTGCTGAGGAAGACAGGCCCAAGGTGGAGAAGATGGAGAAGATCAAGCACTTCTTCGTCGCCCATTTCGCTACTTCTCAAGACATGCACGGTGCGCTCCGTCGCGTTGCGGACGATGTCAGGAATGCTAGGGGTGGCCCAGACAACAAGACCGTCAAGGTGTACAACGAGCGCGGTCCTGGTAGCAACCAGCCCAGGTACGGAGCCGGCAGCTGGCAAGCTAGCAACCGCGGCGGCGTCCAGGGTGGTGGTTACCGAAGTGGAGGCGCCTCGGACAGTGAGGGTGGTCGTGGCGGTCGTGGAGGCCGTGGCGGTGCTTCCCGTGGCGGACGAGGTGGCGAGCGAGGTGCTCGCGGAGGCCGTGGTGGAAGGGGATCATTCCGGGGTGGTGAAGGTGCGGCTGCGGCATCAACTGGAGGCGAGTCATAGAAGCTCACCGACCGCACCTCTACACCCCTACTGACCCTGATACCCCTTCTTTCTTCTTCGGTTCCGTGCTAATGGCTTTCATTGCAGTCATGCCACGGTCTCCCATAAGCGAATTCGCTTCTGGCGACGTCCGCAATCATGTGCTCTAGCTTTTATCATGTTTTCTGGGAGCGATTTCCATACCTTCTTCATAGCGGGCGTGGGTTGTGCGGGTTCCTTTTCGGTCGTTCTAGATGGGACCAGGACAGGTGATTGGCGCTATGTGGTGCTTGTCTTCCTTATTTGGATCGCTGAAGAGGCTTACGATGATGAAGGATGAAGTATGGTGTATGTATTGTAATCACAAAACATTGAGAAACATGTTGTGACCAAGTTCTTCTGACTCATCCGTTCTTTTTGTTCAATATGCATCACGGCTCTGTTGAAAACATTCCCTTCGATTGATTTCTATCTTTCGTTCCAGCGATATTTTGACGACATGCCAACCTAGGAACATGCATCAGTCATGTGCATTTATTTCCTAGACGAGAGTACATAAAATTTTCCATTCAGTGAGCCTACCGTTTCTTCGTTGAATCAGTACACGGTACACTCTCCTTCCCTTCGGGTCAAACATATTCTCGGTTGTTTGATTGTGGCTGATCATGATAGATGTTGGAAGCCAACGCTTACATCGACACATAGGGGAAGACATTGAGGTTGTGGATATTGCAGAGTATATACTGCAAGGGTCACTCTATGAAGAAACCTATCTTTCATCAGTTGCGTCGTGAACTCAGAATCGATCATATGACATATATCGTTTTTCGTCTTGTAGTGTGTCAATGTAGCCTAAGATGCACATAGCCATAGTACGTTATTCGCTGTGCTCAAGACATCACCGCCCTAGACATGTCAGTACACTCTCAAGCACACTTCAATGAATAGTAAGTACGAGCAAAGTAATTGTATTGCCGTTTAAAGTCTTCAATTGTATAAGAGGTTTACTTCAGAAGTTGAACATCACTTCACAACAGCACCATTTGACCAGGTCCGAACAACTTTCATCAGGATAATTATAAGGAATCCTGGCATAGTCATAACGACCATCTGGACCGATTCGAAGTCGGGGAGGGCCCATTGGATGTGTATATGGATCCGGAATACGCGTACCCGAGGACGGCAGGAAGCCTGACCGAAGCAGCGGTTGTGACTCTGGTTGGAGTGATCTGACTAGTACTGGTGGTGATGGCAGTCGCGCTGGTAATTGCGCTGAGGGCACATGTCTTTGCGAAACGCTATCCTCTGGATCCACTTCGGCATTATCAGGTATCAAAGAGAGCTGCCACAGGGGTTCTGATCGCCAGTGAGAGCTTTCATGCTGATCTGATAGTGGCTCCGTCGTAGTGGGAGGAAGACTACGCGCACGATTGCGACTGGATCTCTGACTTGATCGCCACGAGAATGCCTCCACGTTGAATCTTCCTGGGCGCCTCAAACTGTCCTCATACCTGGCAAATATTAGCCATGATGTATTCATAGAGTTACCAGGATAAGGTAGGATGTACAGCTGCGCGCCGTCAAGTTCTATCCGCTCGGTAAACCTTGAACCGACGCTTGAAGGACGTACAGGACGACGTGGGCTTGGTCGCGGGTACACTCGCACCAGACGCTCATGTTTAGGCTCCATGTCATTGCTGGTACTACATATAGGTGGCTCGGTCCCTGCAGATGCCATGTCATTCCTCGCAGAGCTTCCGGAAGAAGTTGTCAGGGTATGAGAAAGGTCCCGATCCAAGTCTCCAGGTGGTGTCGAGATCACCTCATTCACATCTGCTTGTCGGACATCAGATATTGTCGTATGCTGGTCATTACGGGACCGGGCCCGTTGACGGATTCTAGGGACATGTCGAGTCAACCGGGATAACGGGAAGGGATTTGACGACCTCCTGCTCCTGCCGGACAGTAATCTCATTTCCTCGGCTTGCGACACACCACTACCATCGTCATCGTCATCGTCATCATCGTCTGAGCCAGCTCCACCTCGCATGAATACGGCTTGCTCCATTTCAAGTGGTTCCATTCGTGGACGTCCGGGTGTGATAATCCATACTCTTCTCTGACCATCTCTAGTGTTTGCTATAGTCGAGCGCTCTGGGTCACGCGGCGGCATACCATCTCCGATGTGACAATCGTCCGACTCGCTCTCAGATTCGTGACTGATGGTATCGTTGACAATGGAGCCTGAATGACTTTCCGGGCGTTGTGCTTCAGTGACTTGCACATACCTGCGCGCATCTTGCAACACCGGAAACGACGTAGGAGAAAGAATTCCAAGACGCTGTAAAGTTTGCCGAATGTTTGGTGATGAGGCGGACACTGAGGAAGCAGACGGTAATTCAAGAAGCGTTGTCTCCCCACTCTGTACGGCCAGCTGTGACGACTCGTCAAAAACTTCTGCGGAGTGGGGATTCGGCGATAAGGGAAGCGCTTCAACAAGTGTAGTATCACCACTGTTCAAATCGATTTGCGATGGGTTTTCTAAGGATGCTACGAATTCTGGATTTGACCGGAGCCTCGACGGAGGACGTGTTATGGGATGAATTGTATCGATCGACTTCAGTATATCAGGCGAGCTTGTTCGGATACTGGACACGACTGTTGGGCGGCGCCTGGTGTTGTAGAGGCTGTTGTATTCCACCTGCTCCCACCACGGCAATGCCGCGAAGTCATCTTCTGACATGAAGGCTGGATGCGAATACCTTTGCGCCTCATCCTCAGTGGCTTGTTCATAAGCCCTTCGATATCGCTCTTGCACCTCTTCTACCAAATCTTTTTGCTGTCGCTCTCCCTACGAGCCGACCTCGTCAGCCCAACTACGTCCTTTCTCCATGGGTGACGGCAAGCCGGTCAGATCGTCCATGTCTTTCGTCTCTGTAGTTGCTTTGGCCTTAGTGGAAGGTAATTCTGGGAAGTCTGATGCTGAAGGCGGGATGTCGTCGCGCTTTTTCTGGGCGCCTGTCGGCCTCGAGTCAGACTCCCGGTAGTCGCCACGGCCACCCCTACCACCACGGCCTCTACCTCCACCACGACCACGTCCACGACTTGATTGTGCAACAGGCTCATGATAGTCTTCGGCCCCGTTGGATGCGTTGTCGGTTGGTCTAGAGGGTGCGATACCACCGTGTGCACCTCGGGCAGCACCTCGTCGTTTCTCCTCTCCAGTACCAGAGAAGCCGTCCTCTTTCTCAAAGTCCCACTCCCTGCCCATCTGAGCATTGAGCTTGCGTTGCCGGTTCTTTTCACGCTCTCCCATCATCTGCTGACGACTCTGGCGTTCTGCCTTTTGTTTCTCGGCCAATGCCTTCTGTTCTGCCCTCTGTTTCTCAGCAAGAGCCTTCTTGCGTTCCACATCCTGCTTTTGCATGACGGCTTCCCGAGCCTCGAAGTTGCCCTTGTCAGCCTCGGCACGAGCATGAGCGCTTTGGCGTGCTTCATTCTTAATGCGCATGTTGGCAAGCTTCGTATTCAGCTCCTCTTCTGTCAGGCGCGTACGGGCAGGGCCACCAGTCAAGCCTCTATCGCCGCGCACAGCATGTGTAGGTTTCTCTTTGGGCTCAGTGGGTGCGGAAGCAGGAGCTGAGGATTCTGGAGCATCGGTTCCGGCAGCGTTGGCGGCTGGGGCGGGCGTCGCTTCCTTGGGAGCCTCGGATGCCTTCTTGTCGTTCTGCTCTAGACGAATGTCGGTGTTGTGTCCCCCACGACCTCTTCCGCGGCCTCGTCCCCTACCACGGCCACGGCCACCTCTCTCCGCGTTACGTGGCTCTCGGGGCGTATGCGGGGCCAGATGTGCTTGGGGTGCTGTCGGCGGATGTACTTCCTCGGGTACAAATTCGGCGGCCGAAGGTTGCAGCTCGACGGGATTCTGCTCGATAACGGGCTCGGCGATTGGCGTGATATCGTCGTCGAAGAAAAGGTCGTCTGTACTTGCTGTCTGAGCGAATGGGTCTATTGACGGGTCGTTATAGGCGGGGTCGTAGGACGTCGTGCCGTCGGTCTAATGTCGGGTCAGCGTTGTATACCAGCGAAACAACTATAATAGCAGAAGAAGGCCCAGGGTCAGTGCATCGGTAAACATACAGGTGCAGGCGCTGGTGCTGCGGCGCTGGCCTCTGGTGCTGCAGGAGCTGCTTTCTCTGCCTCATCGGGCTGGGACGCCCACTTGGACTTGAGCATGATGTTCTGTAACGAGTAGTACTAGAGTAAATCTAGGGATAGCGATCTGAAAGTAGTATAAGAGTCTTGTATGTTAGCGATGTGATGTGGGGAGTCTTGGTTGCGGCGGTTGGCCGAATTACTTGCAGGAACCCTGGAGTCCGTGCTGAACAGCTCCCCGCACCTGCAGTCCAGACCCTGACCATCCTTCCTTCCCCACGCTCCAGGTCCAGAAGCACTTGACTTCAGCTACCTCCGCAGCTCCTTGTGGTGATAGTAACTGGCAATGGTCGTGGCCTACCCTTCCAGTCTCACACTCTTGTAATCCGTGATTTGCACATGACGTCAAGAAGTATCCTGGAGGTACTTGCTGGATCTTCCACGCTGATTGGCATGCACAACACCGTGAATACCTTCAGTATGATATATAAATGCTTATTGGTGAACGACCTTCACGAAGCGGAGTCGCGACCATAGTCACTAGCACATGGCATGTCAGATATCATCTATACATATTCTACATACTGATGTGTTAATCTTCACATGATACCAGGAGTCTTGGAGCTATGTACAACGTCGATCAACCTAGTCTCTATCAGTTCCCACTGGGTACAGGTCGGCGCATGACACTAAGAAAACACGGACTGGTCAAAGAACACGCCGTTATGTTGGCTCATCTAGACGCCAGGGCCGTACCACCATACACTACGTGGATCGACGTAGCTAGGCATAACAGATGGTACGAACCAGACAGGCAGCTCTGGGGGCGGAGAGACAGAGTACTGCGTGGATGGTGTAAATGCCCGATGAGGGTCAACAGGCGACGATGCGCGGGATCGATGCGATGACATTGGCGACAAGCTACGCGAAGACATGACACGACATCCTGTGAATGGTCTCAGCATGTTGCTGTCTTCACTATGATCATCTGCGGGTGAGCTCGCCATTTGAGCATGCTCATCCACGACAACAAGATCCTGACCTTCGATCTTGTACTTGATATAGCAGGATCCACAAATGCAGGTGCGCTAAAGGAGGCTTTGTCGCGGGCGAGACGCATCTCAGTCTCAACAGACTCCAGGGTGCGAACCTCGACTGACTTCTCGTTGACCCAAGGACCGGAGACAGATGAACCGAAGACACCAACTTTAGTCTGGCCAGCATCCTTGACTAAGTCAAACAAGCGGAGGAGCGCAAGCGAAGAAGTGGTCTTGGTTGGCGTTGTCAAGTTGTCTTCGGTCAAACCAGTTATCATTGGCGTGATCTCGAAACGGTTGTCGTCCAGGCATTTTGGCGTTGACCTGAACGAGTTCAGCGCGTCGTTGTCTGAGCGATCAGCCTCATTTGCAACCTCGTCTCCTTCGACAGGATGATGTTCTGCGTCAATGGATGCGGTATACTTGCAGCGAGCCAGCATCTGGCGCGGTGTCTCCATGTTATCGTATAGTGCGGCTTCCAGGGCCTTGCGGTGTGCAACGATATCAAGGGGCTGCTTGAATGTCATCCCTTCGATACACTTCTCGACTTCCTTCATCATGGTATGTGTCTCGCCTTCGTCAGTGGATTCATCTTGCACGGGCGCAACCTGGGCGAAGACGAGAGCAACAGGCGCAGACAAGATCTTCTTCGCCTTGACCCCCTCAGCGGCAGCGGCACGTTTTGCTAGTATCTTCTCCTTCTGGATCTTCTCGTGGTCCTTGAGCCCCTTCGTCTTCTTGTTCGCGATGTCCTTAGTGCCCCTGAATGTGGCCATGTTTGCAGCTAGGGACAAGACTCTGACTGAGATCTCGTTAGGTGCTGTGCCAGTTGAGCCGGTGATGGTAGTGGGGGCGAGGGAGTGTTCGAGTGGTCCGCCGTACGCGATAGTTGGGATTACCGCGAAAGTCCCAAGGCAGACCGATATGCACGTTGGGCGGATGAAAAGTCAAGCGGTGGTTGAACTTGAAGGAGGTCTAATAGAACGAGTAGACTGGCTGGTGGAGGAGTGGACTGAGCCAGAGTGGTGCGCGAGAAGGTATAGCAACGTATGCGAAAGATTGGATTATATCAACTCTAGGAGTCTTGCGTCTGTTCAGGCACCAGTGCCTAGAGTGAGAAGCAGTGATGTAATGATCGATAAAGCAAGATCCGTGCTTTATGAAGAAGAAGTGAATGGAAGAATCACTTTACTGGTCAAACTCGGATGTTGTTTGCGCGTCAGATGGATGAAGCCCTTGTCGTCACGTTGGGTCCCAGCAATCATGGCTATATCAGAGAGACACCATTATAATTCATGGTGACTATGAAACGATCGTGCTCGCAGTCGCTATAGACATACTAGTCGAATGTGGTGGTATGCTCTCCCAGAGGGTATTGAGAAGAAGTAGAAGTTACGGTATCTGGTTTCCTAGTGAAACATAGCCCAGTCGTCCCGTTGACCTCTAATTGTTCGGTGGTGCTTCGCCATGCCACTAGGTCGATGGTGGAGAGACATTCTCCTTGAAGAGAAGACTGAACTAAACTTGACACATCTGAGAAAATTAAAGAAACTCAAGAATACTTGGTACTCATCAAGGACGAGAGGTTTTCGTGGCATATGCTAAGGGAGGCTAATGAGAAAGGTAGTGTGAATGCAGGAATGATATCGTTAGCACAACTCCCCGAGAGTACTGCTACAGCACGGTAATCTGAAACTTAACATGTCTATTAACGATAAAGCGCAGTGTAACAGCGAAGAAGGAAAGAAAGTAGCCACTATAAAGAGGCAAGAAGGTGCCTAGATCCTGGACTTTGATAGTAACTTCGTTGTGTGAGATGTCGCAGTAGTTGATGCCCGACCTTTCAAGGTTGTAAGTGGCAGGAACAGTCGCCAGAGCTAACCTTGTCGACGAAATGCTGACTAAGCGGAATAGTAGACCTTATGATTCATCACCCTAGCCATCCCTCTGCATCAACCTTTACTTCGTTATCCATCTAGAAATATGCCGACACTAACGGCAAATGATGGTGTTGGTCTTCACTACGAGACGTATGGCACCCCCGATGCCGCTCCCTTGATCTTGGTGAGCCCCCCACCATCGAGCACATGTCTTCCGCGTGCCTGACCTGCATTGTCAGCTGCACGGCTTTACGGGCTCAGGCAAGGTCTTCAAGCGCAATGTCTCCACATTATCCCAGAGCTTCCATGTCATCGTCCCCGATTTGCGCGGCCATGGCGAGTCTGATAAGCCTGGAGCGGGCTACCACGTCGCACGTCTAGCCATGGATCTGAAGAACCTGATCGATTTCTTCAGTTTTCGCGACGGCACGGTCAAAACTATTGGTACAAGTCTAGGCGCAGCTATCTTGTGGAGCTACAGCGAGTTATTCACTACCCGCGCATTCTCGCACATGATCTTCGTAGACCAGGCTCCACTGCAGAACTACCTCGAAGACTGGGGTCCTGATTTTGGAAACCTAGGATGCAACTCCCTTGAAGCACTTCAGGGGATGCAGAAGTCGCTCATTGAGAACCCCAAAGAGGCGCACCTTGGCACCATCGCAGCGTGCTTGGGCTATAGATCGCATCCACAGCCTAGCGACCCTACATCGAATTCTGTGGAATGGAAAGAGGATGAAGAATTCTTCCTCACACAGGCTCTGAAGGGAGATGGGTGGTGGTATGGAAAGTTGATGGCTGACCATACGGCAAATGATTGGCGGCATCCCATCGCGCAGTCATTCGGATCGAAAAGTGGAAATCGAACAAAAGTATTGGTCGTGGCGAGTAGCCGAAGTGGATGCTTTCCTGCTGCAGGACCGTTGAAGGTAGTCGAACTGGTAAACGGAAGCGAAAAGGAAGAGCTAGCTAAAGGTGTAACGGTGACATGGGGAGGCCATTGGTGTTATTGGGAAAAGTCCGACACGTTTAACGAGCTTGTCCTCGACTTCCTCAAATAAAAAGCAGGTCATCGTCGATGTTATGCTGTCACGAAATCCGCCGGTGCAGTCCAGTACAACAAGTTGTCTTTGGTATCTATGCGATCACAAAAGTATTCGTGCTACCAGATCGGTAGGCCATGAGTCTTCGACAAAGACAAGTCGGACCTTGACAGTCCGTTTTAACTGATATGTTGTTGCAAGCGAAGAGCAAAAAAAAAATGATAAACATACAACAGCGGGGATTTGCTAGTGGTCACCCACCTAACTACTAATCCGCCGGTGCACTGCTTGTATATGGCTGAGCGGACGGAAAGCCTGGTTCGTCACTCGTTCTGATATCATAAAGACCGCTCAATTATCTGTTTCCAGTATCGCGCAACCCGTAGCAAGCTTTTGCAGAAAGGAGAAGGGTCTACTTGCGTTACGTACGCTCCTTCGGGCTAAGCAACAGATCATCCCGAAATAGTGGAGCGCAAAAAAGTGATCTAAGCTAGCTGACCGGGATGTTGATCACCCGGGGATGTTGATCACTCACAAATCTCAGCACTCCCACACAAAACACGTGTTATCTCTCCACGTACTCAACCAAAATGGGCGACCGTGAAGCAGCTA